CGCGCCCCCCTACCAAGCTTTACCTAGGCCATGACACAGAAAATTAGATGAGAGGCATTGTGCGGAAGTGCCAAACTACCTTTACCCTAAGTATGTGTGCATACTCATGCAACATTTGTCGATTATCAGGTCGTTTTATCTTTTCTTCTCTTGCTTTTATTAGTATGGACTTTGTGAAAGCTTCATCTCCTTCGCTACAGCAGAAGTAAGACTGAGTACGTATGAAGTAGATGCAAAGAGTAGTAAAAATAAATGTATGCAGCTGCAGAAGCGAACTGTAGAATCATGGTAGGCACACAGAAAACAGGATATGCTGGACAACAAAGTGTCGACTTTTGAAGGTTTTCGTGTGTCGACACCAAAGCAATCTACGCAGATAAACCTTCCCCTGTCATACTGTTCAGTGCTTTTTGATGATGCCAACAAAAGCGTTTTTCGCAATTCCTTCATCGGAAATTCTGCTCACTATTCACGGCCTTCTGAGGCACATCCTTCATCAAGGACACGATAGGAGAGAAAGAGAAAAATACCCTTTATTTTGGCGGTGAATATACGACATTTCAGTAAAAGAATGGCCACATTCTCTGAGACAAGAATGATATATTAATGCAACATTCAGAAATGTAGATGTTCCCATGAAATCCACATCTATTTTAGAGACAGGTCTTATCTCAACTTCTGGATTTCCGTGTGTTTGCACGTGAGTAAACTTGCTAGAAATGGGAACACCGATTGCTGGCATGCGGACATATGTCGGACGTTTTGGCTCACAGTATAGTAAGTCATTTTAGCTATAAACACAGAGTAAAGTAGATGTGTAATCTAAACTAACATGCGATCAGCGAATCACTTGACACGGTCAACCTGTCGCTGCATTTTAATGTCAGCTAAATAGAAAAGGAAACACCGACAACTGAAGTGAATATTCGGAGGACACGTTCAAAAATCAACATGGCTGGAAAGCAGTACATACTAAGGGGCGAAGGCAGGCATTTTTAAATTTCAAGATGAGAGCTTGATGTGCGTGACATGAAAGCAACTGTCGGGTATAATCTAGAAAGTTACAAAGTTTAATGAAGAGCAAATAAAATATTATGTCTTAGAGTCCCACCAAGATACCGGAAGGACGGTACCTAATTTGGCAGTATGTGTAAGGATTTGAGATTGGAAGACAATCCCAATCGGAACACGCACTTCACTGACTTCTGGTTATTCGTTTGGAGACTCTTGGATAACGACCATGACATGAAGTGGTTTGGTCAATCATTTAATACAGAGAAACGTCCACTTTTGAGCGGATGAACAAAGACCCCCTCATCAGCCTATTCTACAGATATGCATCCATTTATCGATCAAAAATTGTCAATGTGGAGGCAGAGGATTTAAGGTGATAAGGTGTACGCACGAACACCTTCACATTTATTTGGAAGGACCGTGCCGTATTGGGCGAATTAAGTGCAGAAAGGGAAATATTTTGCAGGCCGATTGCCCACGCATGTGGGAGAGCCGCATGCAGACATTTTATTAAAGAGGCGATTGTGTGTAATAATAGAAAAGGCAGAGGAATAGTCAAGAAGCGCTAATGCATACACAGGGCAACCCATATATACAAATCTTAGCACAGCATGGACTACAAGAGCAAGCACGTCTAGGTAACTGCGCTTGGCCATTTACGTAAATTGGATCGGAAAAGGGAAAGGAGTAAAGCGTAATTATATGCAAGGCAAATTTCAGTAGCAAATAATCGCAAGGTACAGTTCTGCAAATCCTGCAAACACATTTCAGGACGAAATTGAACTTCATAGTTTAGCGTATATCTGGGAAGGTTATTTTGATCAACTTAGTGGATTTAATAATAAGAAGGGCTTTGTTTTGGAAAACTGTCCTTATATTTAAAGTTACTGGGGGAAAGAGGCTCTGATTTTAGCTAAATCATGATTATGCCTGTATTAAAGAAATTCCCTATGCTATAAGGAAAGACAGGACGAAACGTTCTTCTAATGTACAGTGTGCTGTTAAACAATTCCATAATTATAAACAAGCAGCGATATAAGTTTTAAAAATGATATTTAGCTATTCTGTGAAGTTTTTTTGCAAAAAAAATACAGTTACAAAAATGTTTTCGGCAGAACATTTTCTTTTGCCGCACAGGTGGCCGTTCGCGTAA